ACCTATCTTATGTGAGTTGTTGCCAACGTTTTGGAATTTTGGCTGGTAATAAGTTGTTGAAAAGAGGGTTTGCCTATTGTTGAGACTTTTTGAAAAATGATTTTTTCCGTTTTGCAAGAAATTCTGTTAATAAATTTAGCGCTGCTTCTATATCCCATGTTTTTATTCTCTGCATCGTGGTTCCTCTTACGTACGTAAAGACTGAACATAATTTTTTTTAAATTCATCTATTTACTTTCAACGAGACTACGAGACTATGAGACGGATTTGTTAAATATTTTGCAATAAAGTCACAGGTAATCCCAGAACTATTGGACTGGTACCAGTACTGAACTATTCCGGTAAGTGGGCCTTTACTTGTGGTGCTGTTTGCCAACAACTCATATTAACTTATATATTAATATTAACAACAGAGTGAAAGTGTCAAGATTCATTTTCCGGGACCGAAGAGAAATAAATATTAATCGACCTAGGTGGGAATCGAACCCACAACGTTCAGAACCGGGTATTCTGGTACCTACGCCCAAAATTCATCTTTTGGTGCTAAAGTGGTGGCCAATTAGAGATATTATACAACCATATTTCTCTTATTAATGAAAATTCCTCAGTAACAAAATGAAATTAACTTAATGAAATTATTTCTCTTAAAAATGTAAAGTGTTTTGGAATTTATTTAGTCCCAGCTTTTCTGAGTCTTGGTAATGCGTATTTTGGTAAACGTATCACGCTACTTATACCAATTATTTTCCAATTCTACGTTCTTTTAATTCGAGGAGGTTGAATCAACACAACAAATTTAAAAATAATCAGTGAATTTGTATTTAGTTTTATATTATAATATAATCTATCAATTGTTTTTCAACTATTCAGAAATATTTATTTCAATCTTATTTGGGTCTCTTTGAAGTATTTAACTTCTTCTTTTGTCCTATCGACTTCCTACAAAAATAAGAATTTCAAGCCCCAATTTCCTGTAATGAATTTCAATATATATTTTAATATTCAACTTTCAAGTACACTTGATTTATAATTTTTAATTGCTTCATACTGTTCCAATTATGACCCTCTAGTTTAAGTTTTATTATATAAATGATAAGGATAGTAACGATGCCAGAGATTTATTTCCCAAAATTTCTCTTGAAGATCTGGGCGCCATTCCACCGTTTTTTTTTCGGGCGAAGTTATTCCTAAAATGCGGTAAAACAAAAAAAAAAAAAAAATTAAATTGAGAATGCCGACAACCGCCCTGTCAAAGACGAGATAAAGACCAACTCGTCACATCCAAAAACAGTCCTAGAGATTCTAAGCTCTTTCAGAAAATTTAAATAAAGCTTTAGTAAAAGTTGGCTTTCACGGTTACGATCTGGAAACATCTCCATTAGGGAGTGACGAACCACTCGCCTGTGAAGAGCTCATTGGTCTCTCGCAGTTCTCACAGCCCATCAATGGGGGATCCCAAATAATTGTCACAGTGTTCGATAAATATGAATGAGTCCTAGAATAGGCGAGAAAGTCTTCGAAACTGGAGAACATCTGGAGAAAGTGACTCTTCTAAAGATGTCTCTATCGGACACCCATGCGCTCTGTCCGTCGCCAATTATCTGCTTTCCTGAACATCCCCGCCTCGGGAGTCTTCCTCAACGGATATTTCTATTATTTGGAAGAAAGTCATTAGGAGGAGTTTCTTTTGAGGCTTTTCTTTCTGACGTCTCTGAGATATTTCTTTTCAATTAAATTCTTCCGTATCATCATGTGTGAAGTGGGCAGTTTCTCTAGTCAGCTTGATGATTCAGTTTAAAGTAATTTTTCCAGCAGGAGAAATTCTAAAAAGAAAAAGGATGAAAATTTCTCCGACTCGTTGCTTGAATTGAGTAATTGAATGAGCTGTTGGACATTATCCAAATATCGAAGAAGATAGTTGGTAATTGGAAAGAAAGCTTTAGATTTAATGGGATTGAGTTGATGTTTAGTTCATAATTGAAAAATAGATATACATTTACAGTGTAATCAGCTACATATGGAGGAAGACTAACATATCATGGAGGCGTCAAGATGTTGTAGATAATTTTATTTCTGACATAATTAGTAGCATTCATGATTTTACGTAAGATTTTAGACTAAGTTTAGTAACTATAATATACAGCATATGTCATTCGGACGAGCCTATTGGCACTATTTATAACAGACTGTCAAAACATCTAGCTTATTTAGATTGCTTACTAATATCGAATATATCAATAGCAGACCTATTGGGGAAATTTGAGCAATTCGAAAAGGCTGCATCAAAATATGAGTTCCCCGTGAATGATTAAAATATGATGTATAAAAAACCTTAAGTCCACCCAAAAGCATGGAAGACGCTGCCAATTTTAGAAGCCATGATTTCAATACGGCAAGTTTAATTACTCGGAGCTCTTGTCACAGCAAACATTAAATATCTTAAAGAATTTAAAATTAGAAGTCATCTAAGTTTAAGGTGGGATACCTTTTTAATAGGAATAAGCGCGGCAATACTATAGGACAAGATGTCGTAATTTTAATACAGATGGTGTTAACTATAATTGTTAATTATTTCGTAATTATAGTATTGTTTGTTACTGATTGGTATGCTGTTTGATGGAGTAACGCGATGCATTCTGATTGCAACACTAATGAATAAAATATCTCTGCGATGGATTGATTTCTTCTTCTTCCTTAAATTTATTGTGGTTAAGACACTGCCTCCGTGTGCTTAAGGTCCCGCCGGATTAGAATCCGGTTGATGTTAGGTAATTTTTTTATTCAGCCGTGGGTCGATCTTGGGGTCGGAAACCTCCTGAGGCGCACCCAGTCGCTATACAGTTGGTAATCTTAATCAAATCATAAATCAAGGAAGAAAACATGACGGTTGAGCGTGATCTTGCTCCAATCACATTCCTACACAACCGTTGGCATTGAAACAGTGTTTCCTTACTGAACCCAAGACCCTTCATGGGCTGTAATGGTACAGTTCATTTCCTAATGTGTATATTATAACTAAACGTTTCTCAAACTTGCTACAATGTTTAGTGATTTTATATTCACGTTGAAGGAAAGAAAAAGTATATTTAATCGAGTGTGTGAAGGCAGAGACCCTAAGAAGAGAACGTAATTGTGAAACGACAGAGTTGGCTTAGATGAACCTCCAGGCTCACTGAAGTGCTGTAGAATAAGATAATCGATTTATAATGAAAATTATATAAGAGGATTTTTTTCGCAAAGTTCATGAGTCGGTAACGAACCGCTCAATAATTAGCCGATATCTCATTAACCTTATTAAGTGGCAACCCTTTTCCTTTACTTTACATCATTAACATCCCATGTTAATATTAGCGAGTATTTGATTATGAGTTTGTACATTGCTTTGTTAAATGTTAAGTATATTTCAACTTGAATGGAGGGAGGAGAGAAGGATATCATTTAGAAAGGTTCACAGAGAAATAATCTCTAGCGAAAAATAAAAAATTACAAAAGATGAATTCAGTATGTTTGGACCTCCTTGTATCCTCATACTCTTTTTCTCATTAAATTTAATTTTATGAGATTCGCATGGAATAAAACTATAAAAAGCAAAAGGCATACATTAATTTCAAACATTTCCATCGCTTTTATTCGTTTTAATTAGATGTTTGATTATAGATTTATTGTGACGTTTAATAGTTATTTTATCGCTCCAATTCACTATTGTTTTATTTATTCCCAAGAAATGATGGAACAAGGTTTACAGAATAATCACACCATAAAAAATAAAAGATAGTTTATAAGTTAAAATATTTGATTTGAAAATGTGTATAATCTATCATCTGAAATGCCACTTCCAATTAGCTGATTTTGAAGAAAAAGTTTCTGTAACATCACATATATATAAAAATCTTAAATGTGCAATTTCACTTTCATACGACTTTTCGTTTATGAGCTAGACTGTTCACATACATACAACCATGAACGGACCATTTTGCGGAACTTGGTTATTTGAACTCAGGAGACTACAAAACATGTAGTTCAATATAGCAATACTTCCCCTCACTATAATATATAGGTAAGTGAAAGTAAAAAATATTATGAATGGATGTCTTAGGCTCATGATTAGTTGGTAAGGAATCTGTATTTCCACCAAATTTCTTACAAGAATTGGGATAGAATTGAATTACAAGAAGAAGAACTAAGTCTTTAGCAATTACTCTTCACTGGTAAGGTTCATCCATCCCAATTAAGGGTAATTACTTTTAGAGCCTGGGTTTTATCCAAGAGGGTTCCCTGACCCAAGAGTCGGACCATGGTTGATATTGCAGAATAAATGAAATATCTGCTACATGCGTACACGGACCAAAGCAGCTTGAAGTAAGAGTGCTTTACCCGCTAAGATAACATATTCCTGAATTTTAACTTTTAATTGTGCAATAAAATTTTCCTTTCTCATAAACTTTTTTTATATTAATAACTGTGGTTTTTATAATACAAATTGTAAATATATACCTATCTTTTTATTTTTTTTTTTTTTTAATGGTTGTTTCTGATTTCAGAACACTAGTCCTATATTTAGAGAGCTTGCTGATAACGTTTTCTTATGATTCAATCATCTGAGGTTCATCGGCATACATCGATACAATCTTCAAATTGCTTTTCCTATTCAAAAACCGTTTTTTCATTTTTTCATTTCTTCAGATATTCCTTTATGTATACCTGAAGAAATGTTTAGCTGAAATGTTTTCCTTTTCGTTCTTCATTTCTTTCTCATACACTGCTCGCTTTACAACCATTGTAGGACGCCATACGAGGCACTTTCACGCCAGCTGTCTATATTGACTCACCATCAGGCCTAGGAACTTACCGAATAGAGCAGTACACTGCTATCTGTAAGATCGCTTTCGCTGGCCCAGTTGCTATAGATCCGATAGATATAAACAGATAGGCCCCCTGTGTATATGTTTATAGGGGCCGTAAACTAGAAGGGAGAGGTTACACCCACCACTTTCACTTACCTTGGTTTTTCTGCGCAGGTTTTAAGCCCCACATCTCGGCTCTAATGGTTGACCTCAGTCTCCTTAAGTGATTCTTAAGGACATGATTTATATTCATCGTGTCTGTCTAGTCACCACGCATTTGACCAATTAGGGCTTTACAAAATGATCTAAAAGCTTCGTCTTTATTCGCATTTTTATCACTTATGATAGTTTTCTGAATTTTACTCTCGAAAATACAGTTGAGATTTTAAATCGCAAAGCACTTGTCAACCATGTTCTCCGTAATGATCAAAAGTTCAGTAGCATACTCGAATTTGAAGTATCATCGTAATCTCGTTAAAAGGTTGACACATTTATATACGTAATCGGTTGCATATGCCACCTGACAGTTCTATGCAAACGAATAAATAAATGTTTTGGCATATACCTATCATTATATAAGTCATGTTTGATTCGTGATTTAGGCATTAGTCTGTTGCATAAGACTTTTTTGACATAGATTTTTTGAAAATGGGCGCCAAGTTGATTACAGAAATATATATATATATATATATATATATATATATATATATATATATTAAATAGTAGTTATATTAGTACTAGCTAGTGCTATTATTTATGAACGATAAAATAGTATTTATATGGACTCAGTTCTCTTACTAAGTAGAGTTCATAAACAGCCATCGTTGCTTTCTTCTAATTGGTCGACAACTTTTTTTTTTTTTTTATGGTAAATTCCAGTTCCATCTAGCCATTTGGGGAGCAGTTCGATCAGCAAAAGGCTACTAATACTAATCTATTGTTCTTCAACCTATGCTTCATTTTCTGGCATGCATGCTTTTTTATACATCCCTCAAATTGTTAATAGTAAAGGTATTTTCGTCATCTTTTGTTAGTTACTTCATGTTATAAATGGTATGTCTTGTCATGTTTTCTTTTTGTATAGCATGTCTGCAAATGTCATTATAGCGTAAAATATTTTTTTGTTATTATTGAGTATTACAACAATCTGTCACTTGGACATTAGTTAAAGTGAGGTAGGATACCTATGCATTCACACTATATGCACAGAAAAATATAAAATAAATAGAAGCAAAATAACAATAAATAATAATCAAAAAGTATATACAATAAATATAATAAAATAACTTAAAAATAAGAAAATTAAGCAAAGAAAAAACACATGCACACCTATATACACTATTTACAATCAGACGAGGAAACACCGAGGCATGCTTTTTCCTCCAACTATGGAGAGAAAAGCTAGACTCCAGGAGAATCCTGCGCTTCTCTCTCAACCGCAACACTGCTGCTAAAGCCAGCGGAGATTGATCGAGAGCACTTTAGCCACACACACTCATGTCTTGAGTGGATAATTTGGCCATTGTCATAACTCCAATATATACACCCTACAAAAGGTCGCGGGGCTACTGCCGTTTCTTGGGAGGTGCTTGATGGGGATTGTGCAAGAGGATTTGGATGATAAGTAAGGTTCTGGTAAAAATCGTAGAATTGTTCTGGAATAAGGTGTAGGAAAAATTGGATATTGAGGTCATGATAATATAAAAATAAAAACATTTTTTTTTAGTCATACCCTACGTTCTACAGCATGGACTTTTAACAAAGACAAGCTACCTGGTACCTCACAAAAAAAATCAGTAAGTAGTTTCAATTAAATCGTGAGCTGATGATCGAGGTTGAAGTACCAAATATAGTTGTGATTACCAACTTTCTAAGTCTACAACAGGTTGAAGAATTCGGAGTCATTATTGGTTGCAAGTCTTGTTTTGGTCCTCTCCATGTTAGTCAAGACTGAAGTAGTAGCCTTGTAAAGAATGTGAGCTATTTCTGTTGCAAGCTTATAGGACAGTGATAACCCTTTTCGGTATCGACTAGCTGTGCTGTTGAAAATGATACATGCATGTTGATTCAGCCAATTTGTTTTTAATACTAATTAAAGATTTAGTTCCGTCACGTTGAGCAATACAGCATGTCTTGACGACGCAGTTCTTAGCTGTGATTTAATAGTTACTCTACATGTATGCAGAACTAGAACTCTTCTATTATAAATCAGTATAAATGAAATTTGCAGAAATAGACCTGCTTTGCCAAAACATTTGCATTATATAACACAAGCGGAATTGCAAACGTTACGCTCCTAAAACGTACAGATAACGCTAATGACTGCTTAGAGCAGTTCCTGGCATTGTCAGATTGCCATTGTTTCAGTACTCAGCCATCGTAAATGTTCGTTGAGTTTTGTAGTGAGTTTGCAAATCTTGTTACATCTCTCATTGTTTTCACGCTAGATAATAACTACATTGTTAGCACTTTACTCTGCATTTTACTGCAGGGAAACATATAATTATAGTTAGAATATTTATGATATTAACATAGTAATATTACTGAATTTTCTCAAGACCCAGTCACTCGTAAATCGGAAACGATGGATCAACACACCTGTGTTATAAATAATATCTTCTGAAAAAATAAAACTATTCTTGCTAACAAAATAGGATTTCTGTTTAAAAATGAGACGCGTTCAAAGCAGATGATTGATGGTACTTTAAAATGGCTTTAGAATTCCACACTTTTGCAGGGACTTCAGTTCAGGGACAAAATGTTTGTATAACAAGATTTGACTTCAATGTTTCAATTGCGAAGTTGCAGTAATGAGAGGTAATTAGAAGCACGTAAGCTGGGATATTATAAGTTAATCAAGAAGCCTAGATTAAAGTTCGATCATCATACACCACTTCTAACAGAATCTAGAATGAGATGACTGAGAGTGTATGTAGTTTTTTCTTTTTCAAACAAGAGGTATGCATCAAGGAAACTTGAGGGTTCAAAAGTTCCTTCAGTATCATTACAAACCATCCATACACTTGTCAACCTCAGTCAAGATATGAAATAATCAGGACTTTGTGTAATTAACCTATTAATTAATGAAATTATCTTAATAGTACGCGTAACGATGTGAAACCATCTAAAAATGTAGCATATAGTTTCCTTTCTACCTAAATGATTGTTAAATAAATGAAAAATGAGAGTTTGAAACAAATATATGATTATTTTATTTTATCTTCAAAGAATATCAAATCTATTTGAGACAACCTTCAGCGATTGCAACATACAATAAATCTCACGATTCCTGGAGAGACATCCGCCGAAAGATGTTCCGAATGTAGAGCGAATTTCGACACAGCGGTGGACCGGTCTTAATGTCATGGCTTCTGTTGCAAGAGTCTGTGCCGCTTTGGTGAGTGCTCTGCCGACTGATGACTTACTCAACCGAAGATTTTTTCGAGTGTTTGGAGAAAGCCACATGTGGACCCATTTTTGGCGAACATTGGGTTTTTCAAATATCATGTATCGATTATGTGCCACTAATACGTCAGTTGACGTGACAGCTTACAAGGTAAATTTGATTATCAACTTCTCGATCCATCTCTTTCAGATATATCACATGTATACGTATAATTATATACCTTCAACTCTTCATCTTATTTATTAATGTACTTCAATATAGACCTGCTAAAGACAACCGCGTTTTTCATTTCTTGGTTTTCTTTTTTTTCCCACACCTTCTTCATCTCCGTCGTCTCATTTCTTCGCTCCTTTATCAACTTTCTTACTTTTTTCTTCTATCATAAGAACCCTCTTTCCATCTACTTTCTTTCTAAACTTCTATCTAGACATTTGATGTTTTTACTATCAGTTTTCGAAAAGATTCGCTTTTTCAGTCTACGAATTGCAATACTCTTTTTGTGACCTTAAAACTTCAACCTTCTTTTTCTCACTGATATATCTAGTTCTTCAATGTCTTCGTACATCTTCCTGTTCTTTTTGGCCAATACTCTCCGTCCATTTTTCTTATAGAAATACTTTAAATGTTTTGTTAATTTATTTTTTTTTATCTTTTAACTTATTTTTCAAACTTTAATAACTATTTGTTTTCAGCGAACCATTAATAAATTTTCGTTAACAGATTTCTTATTATTTATTTCTTGTTTCTGAAACCAATTTCTGAAATTTATTATTTACTAATAATATTTTATTACACCATTTATCTTATTTTATGAAGAAATAAAGCTGAATTTATACATTTAAATAATAGATGCCTCATATTTACAGTTTGCACTTTTGTGATTAATTTTATCGAATAAAAAGATTTTCATATTCAGAACAAAATATTAATGAAAATTTATACAAAATTTGGGTATAATTTATAAAATAATATTCTTCAAATAAAAATAAAAATAATCTAGTGATTATTCAAACAACAAGGATGACTAATTCAACGAACACAATAGCACCCACAGAAGCCCTATAAGCGGACCAAATATGGACTTGGCCAATGGAAAAAGATCCGATTTTCGTGTTTTTCCAGTTGTCGAAAATGATTTGGACATGATGAGGTTATACGGATGTTGTGCAACTGATTCGATTCGATAATGATTGTATAATAAGGCGCTAACTCGGTGGCCAATGGTATTTTAGTTTAGTTGTCCAAACTCCAATTTCATTTATTCACCGTTATTTTTGGTTTCTTCACGACATTTCGTATTAATCTTCGTTCAAGAAATGGAAATAGGCTAGCTTTCGACTTCTTTAAATCTATTATTTAAAAAAAGGAAATAAAATTAGATATGTTATTATTAAAAGCAAACTTTTACTTTTTTAACGACGTGTATCTCTCAAGTTGTATTTGCAACAGTTTTTGTGAGTCATTTATTGTTTGCATGGAAATCATAAAAACCACATCTCGTAAAAATAGTGACAGTATTAGGAAATACAGTATTAGAAAATGCCTAACGTATTAATCATGCTCATCCATTATGAAACCTCCTTACTAAATGATTTAACTGAATAGATGAAAATAATTATGAAGACTAAACTTACATCCAAGCAATTCATCAAGAACGCTCTACACAAAACAGAATGCTATAGTAATCGGTAAGAGACGATGCGGAAGGCCAAAAACAGGAGCCTGACAATATAATAAAGAGTTGTGGTGTATGCAGTAGATGTATCCGAAGATAGGTAGAGGCTGTAAAGGTATATTTATACTACCAATGATCTAAGATATGTACAGAAAAAAATTTATAAAATTTT